GACGGTCGGTACGACCCACTGAGGTTACAGGCGGCAGTAATCAATCACATTGTAAAACCATTAAGAACAGTGAGAAATGGCCATAGGGGTCGACGTCCATCAATGGTTGACAATGGACAATTGCCAATGGCGTGACAAGGGCACACGTGTGATTTATCGCTACTACTGTAGAAACAACCAGCAAGCCTGCAATCAGAGGCAATCTAGAGCGACAATTGCGAGCGCTGCCGCGTCGGAGACCCAGCTGTCCTATACTCGCCGCCTGCTCCATTACCGCTCCGACACAAGTATCATGCTAAACATCCCCCTTATGGAAAACGCCCCCCACCCCTGTGTACACTGCGCAGGGGCAATGGACGTCAAATTCCCACGCGCGTGCGCCAATGCACCAAGTATACTCGTAGACACGCATACGCGCAATGCATAGTGAGTGGGGACGCCTGCCATAGATGGACAGGGGGGGGGAGTCAACCATGCAATGACAAACCTCTATAAGCGACGTTTGAATTGATTACAGTGACTCGAGCTGTGACCTCCCACCTCCTCCACCTCTCCCGTGTGCGACCGGCGACGGAGCATGGCCGCCGGTGCCAAGGACGCTGCGAGCGCCATCTACGACAAGACGACGTGCGAGCGCATCGCCTTCTGGAACAGCGACATGACGCGCTGCGTGCACTGTGCGCAGACGAACGTGCTCAGCCGCGAGCTGGTCGCAGGCCGACGCGACAACGGCGACGAGTACGGCACTAACGAGTACATGTGCAGGACGCCCGGCTGCGGCTGGAGCACCAGCTTCTTCTGGGACGACGCGAGTCAGTATTCAGTATTACCCGCTCATCACGCACTAGCGATCGCATCACAACACGCACGACACACGGCACGGCACGCACGGCCCACGACACGGCACGCAACTGGCACGCCACGGACGTGGACAGACGCACGCACGCACGCACCACGCACGATCACGCGACGCACGCCACGACACGCACAGCACGCACGCACCAGCACGCACGCACGCACGCCACGCACGACACGCTACCGCACAGCAACACACACACACACACACACACACACACAACCACACAAGAAGACCATAGAACATATAATATATGTAGCATATATATATATATACTATTAAATAATATATATAGTAGTATATATATATGTTAATGTACATATTATATATACTGTATATAATTATCCCACCGCTCTACAGCGCTGGCCGCTTGGCGCAAGCCAACATGCCACGACATTAAACCTCTCAGCGTGCAGCGAGTCTTTGAGGGTGTGAGTATTCAACGTTAAGGCAGGCGGTATATTTAACAAATGCTAAAGTACGCCCGATAGCCGAACGCCAACCCTTTTCTTTTTTTTTTTCCCGGGAAAAAAGACTCGGTGACCAGTGTGACTCACGGACAAGCTGACATGCGAACGAAAGCTGGGTTAACACTGACCGACCATTTTATGTTGACGAACTGGCCGAGTATGGCACCAATTTCCGCAATTGGTCAACTCCGAGTTGGAGAAAATAGAGCATGGTTCTAATCTCCTAGTTGCTAATCGATCGGATTGGGTCGCGCACATTTGCGAGTTTACACTGGCCGATATAGTCGGCTGTATAGGTTC